TAAATCCAGAATATCCAAAGTGAATAATCAATATTCATGCTAGATTACAAGAAGTCAAGTGTGGTCAAAACAATAAATACGTTACTGTAAAAAGAAACTTTTATTTGAATCCAGCTGTTGCCCATGTTTTCTACTCCCAGTACAACACCTAAATTCATCCTGGGGTTTTCCAAAGGTCAGGTAGCCAATACTCCATATGTTTTAAAATGAAAATATAAATGTGTTTGGTACATGAGATTAGTATCAAATGTTACAGGAGCATCTTAATGAAGCAAAGATGAAGAATGTTAGCAAAGGAAAGGAACATACATTTGAACTGTGATCAGGGTTAAAACAAATATTACAGTCTGGACTTTTTGCTGAAACTGGACAGAAATAGTAATCATGTTTGGATTTGTGGATGGATAAAGTTCAAGATACAGGAAGAAGTGATTTCTATAATGTAATATCAAGTTGTACTTGTGTGGAAGTAATTTCTTTAATTTTTTTTCTTTTCCCCCTTTTTTCTGCACTTTTAATCTCTATTCTGCCTCTTTTTGATTTCAGTTTGTTTTACTTTTTACTATTAAAATCTTTAATAACTATTTTTAAAAAAAGAGAAAATCAATACATTAAAATACTGATAATAAAATCATTCTTTAACCAAAATGAATATTTGATTTAAAATACATTTAACTAGTTCAATGAAGGCATTGTAATGTATATAATCAATTATGATGTCTTCCTTTTCTCTATTAAGAATATAAAGACAACCTTAGAATTCTGTGCTCTATAAAATTGGCAAACAGGTCTTCCTACTGCATTGAAGTAATAGGTCAGTGCTACTTAATTTAAAAATTCAACAAATTGCCTCAATCTTTAGAACAAATGTGGAAATTTTTTTCAGTCTAAATGTTAAAGCTAGTTTACATATGATATTGTTTAAAATGCATATTTTGATCTTTTATATTTTCATATATATTGTCTTTGCACTGTGCCTGTATGGTGAGTCTGAAAGCTTGTCTTGGATGCCTGGATGTTCACACCTTGGTCCCATCCCCTGCTTTGAGTTAGTGGCTTGGTAGTTTTCACTGCCACTATCTAACTTTTGGGGAGCATCTTACTTGTGTTGCCTTGCTGGAAATAAAAACCAGGAGTGGAAACTGCTTTTCTAATATGACTTCCAATTGTGTAGTTTAAAGTTATGTGACTAAGGATTTCCTTTCTTCTTTCAGAAACGAGCATCCTCATTAGGAAGAAGGAGGGAGGGAAATTCTAATAAATGCAGAGTTGCCTTGCTTGGTATCAGCAACTAGAAAATCTACAAGGCAGTACACAAGAAAATGAAAGAGATGCTCTAAGTAAGCCACAAGATGGTGCTTGTCTGCTACAAGTATAAAAAACTAAAAAGAAAATTGAACCAAAATCAACTTAATATTTCAGAATTCCAGATTTTATAGAAATAGTATAATTTCATGAGTACCAATTTCCTCATTTGCACTGGAACAAAAAAGACATGATTGTTAGCACGGCATATAACTCTTGCATTTCCATAGATAACAGTTTCCTAAAACGTTTATTTCAGTGGTTCTCAACCTGTGGGTCGGGACCCCATTTGGGGTCGATCGACCATTTCACGGGGGTCGCCAAGCAAGGCTGTCCGCCATTTTTTTTGTCTGCCATTTTTTCCCCTTTTCCAGCGGGTGCCTTACCTCCCTTGGGCTGGGCCAGCTGGTGGTCGGCCTGCTCCGTCTCTGCCGCTTGCCAGCTACGCCTCGGCCGGCGCAGGGGGCGGAACCACGCATGCGCGGCGCTCCCGGGCAGGGAAAGTCCTCGACTTACGACCGGTTGGGTAGTCCTCGACTTATGATCGGTTTAGTCCTCGACTTACGACCGGTTTAGTCCTTGACTTACGACTGGCTTAGTCCTCGACTTACGACCGGTTGGGGTCGCGGCATTAAAAAGGTTGAGAACCACTGGTTTATTTATTCATTTTATATAGCCTCAAATACATGAGTGTGGGTGGCTAAATAGCAGGAAAAGTCACAAGAATGGCAAATAGCAAACACTTTTGTTGCTTGCCATAATTTTGTGAGTATCATCAATTCCTGTAGTGTAGTCTTACAACTTGATGCTGACCAGAGTGCTGATCTAACTTCCTCTTCTATTACTAGAGCTTGTAAGTAGGGGATACTACTTCTCAGGTACTTTGGAGATTGACACCTCTATAATATTTCAGTGTATCCCTTCAATTTTTCTTTGATCTTTGAATAAATTACTATCTGTCCATTGTTATCTTTTAGCATACCAATTTGAGATTAGAATAACTTGATTCCTTTGAAAGATTTTCCTTTTTTTCCCATGTCCATTTCTATCTTCAATTCTGCCAAGTTTCTGTTGCTCTTTGTTAAGTCCCTTCCTAATATTTTTGTCTTTCTTGGCTTTGTCTTTCATGTATATTCCACAGTTCTGACATACTGTGGATAAAGAGTCCTTTGACAGCTGTTCTTTCTAAACTGCTTTTAAGACATTCTGGGTAAGATTCTGTTTCCTGTCAACTTACTGGATTTATATCCACTTAACACATGATCCAACAGATATGTTTCCCACTTCCTATTCAAATGTAATTCTTTACAGGAAGCAAAAGCAAAAATGCTTATTTTTTCAGTAATCTTACATTTATGCAACATTGTGATATCTTTAAATTGCCTGAATTTTTAATATTAATCTTTCATTTTCTGTAGCATTTATCTCTGGAGCACATCTAGTGCTTATTATTTCAATTGGATGGGATTACTCATTTGATAGCAATATAGAAATGGTAGCTTCCATTTCATGAAAGTGTAAATGATTGATGTCAGTTAGTAGGTTGTTTTGGTTAAAAGAAAGGTTAGAAATGAATGATTCACAGTTAAATGGCAAGGACCAGCTGTCATTGGTTGGCATTTTCAGATTTTAGTGACTCTTGGAGAAGTCATTAATTTAATAGATAGTCAGCATTAAATAGATTTGAATTAGGTTTGTCAGTCATAGCAAGATTAAATATAAAACTGATCACATTGGTGTAGGTCCTGGACAAAACTTTTCTAGAAGAGAATTCTGAGAATATCTGGAGCAAAGCAAAATTACATATACAGAAATGTAATGTCATAGTGATGGATAATGTTGCTATATGTTGGAGTCTTGCTTCTTTTTGCTAACCATGAGAATTCATCTATCATAGAAAATGAAATTATTCTTTTCTTCTAGAAAACTAGAAATTTTCAAATGATGTCATATGAGTGATATTAAATGCCACATAAACAACAGTTATTTGACATTATGAATATTTAATTTTATAATGTTCAAATATTTTCTACAAAAGCTTTGGACACTCAAAGGTATACCCAGCTTCTTTTATTACAACTTAACTTTGCAAATTATGTTGGAATAAATGCTAATGGAAATAAATAAGAAAATGTGTACAATACGGACACTTAAAAAAGTTTTAAAATTATAACCTCCATTATTAAACTTCTCAGTATTCCTAGATACCATACACATTTCCAGAAATCAGCCTAATAATGGTCTATAATTATGCCGGAAAATAAGTCAGGAGGATGATTTTATAATTACATTTTCTGTCCCACAGTTATTACATGTAATTTTAATGAGTGTTCTATTGAACTAAACAGAAGGGTTGACCAATATTTTCTAAGAATCTTCCTCCCTCCCCCTCTCTTCCTTCTCATACTCTATCCATTTCTTTTGTGTTATATTTCTGAGTTTATATAATTGTAATAGTCACATTCTTCATAGCATGCTTGCTATGCAATCAACAAGAAAGGATGGGAAATAAATTGGTGCTGGTCTCAGACATTCAGTCTATTTTTCTCATGTAGGCAATTTTTCTAATAAAAATATATATATTATTAAAGGTTCTAAGAATGGAATAACTCTAATTCCCTGTGATCAGATGAACTATTTTGCTAAATAAATAAAAGTGCAGAAAATCATGTATTTTTTTTAGTTGTATTCATTGTGTATCAGAATTTTGACTCCTTTATTCTATATATACCCCTCACTGAAACTAACTTCATTATATTGGAGATGATGTCTGTACAAGAGTTTATGGGCACTTCCATAGGGCAATGTTTCCATTTTCCTATGTTCTTTAACCAAGGAATACTGAAAACAATATGCCAATCAAATTGTCCCTTCACTTGACTAATAGGAACCTAGAAGCAGTGCTATTTATTTTACAGTATGTCCTGTCCAAGCTGCTTCTTAGACTTCATGAACTGGGATTTATTGTAGAGCATTTTAATACTTGAATAACCAAATCTCATTGATTCCACACAAAAGGAAAAGAAATACATAAAGAGCCAACAGTTTGCTAGCCTGCTTGCTCTTCTGCACTGTTTGTCATTTGGGGCTTTTCACCTCTGCTAAAGAAGCCAGCATTAAAAGACCTGCCGTATGGGTGAGCAAAAATGAGAAATAGACTTCACCAACTTTCAGAACGTCACTCTTGTAAAAATACAGATGACCTTTTGCAATTTGGCTTGCACCACAGCTGAGCCAAGAATAAATCATCTTAGCTGCCAACCTCAATTGATGTTAAATTCCAGAATTCCACAGTGGCTTTTGACCTGGCAGAGTTCTGCAGTTGATCAGCTAAGTTGTATAAGCTCAGCTATGGTATGGCAAAATACTTCAGTCCCAATAGTAGCATGTACATAGACTCAGAAATATGTATTTCTGTTTTATGGAGAATAAAAGAATTTTAAAGTAATATTACAGTTCAGTTGCCAGGCAGAGATATTTTAACTCCACTTCTTCCAATTCCATGTCCTTGGAATGAGCCCTGTATGATTCCTGCAGTAGATATTACTGAGATTAGAAGAAGCAATTAATGCAATTATATAAACAATAGATCAGCTAGGAATTAACCTGGAGAATATAAAATGCACACCCAGCGCCTGAACTGGGCATTATCTCGGAAGCAAACTCAAAGACACAGGGTGACTGCATGAAGAAAAGACTGCAGCCAAGAGAGTGATTCTCCTTTCCTGAGGTATTCTGAGATTGGACAGCCCAGCAGAGTTGATAGGTATGCATTTCTATATGCCTCTGTGAATCTAGAAAATCTAGAAAAAAATGTTTGTAGACATGTAGTGTTCAACAAAACAAACATGATATATACTGCTTTGTTTTTGAGATGCCACAAGATAGGTGCATTTTGGCTGTAAAATAACATGATTATCCCTTAGAAGCATTTTTTAAGCAGGATTCTGTTTGCTGTGAGATAATTTTTAACAAAAAGTATTCACTATGCTGTCAATGCTTCTTTACATCATTCATCAGCATTTGATCTGTCATTAATCAAACTTTTTTCTCTGTCAATGGCTTTACTAGTTTATAGGTTCTGGAAACAATGTTTGAATGAAGCAAAGTGTGTGTGGAAAGTATAACAGCACAGAAAATATCAAAATCTGAAACCGTTTCAATACATTTGAACAATGAGATGAAATTCAATATAAATAAATATGAATACCTGAATTTAGGAACTAGATATACTGTATGTGTCATAAATATTGGTCGCATTGAATAAACAATTGCCTGCATGAGCTTGATATTATTTGGCAACATTTGGAGTGTGTGTGTGCTTATGAAGCTGAAATTAGAGCACTAATTATTCAGGTGTCACATGTTGAGAACATTGACAAACTAGAAAATGTTCACCAGAAATCAGCTTAGTATGAAATCAAACATTACAAGGAAGTCAACAATTGCAAGGAAACAGCTTTTTCTTTTAAAATATTAGAGACAGAATAGAGAGAATGACAGAATAACAGAATAGAGAGAAAAATAAGAGAAGAAAATATTGCTGTCTTCCAATATTGGAAGTGCTGGAGAAGAGTTGGGACAGATTCTTCACTTTTTGTTTGGCTCATTGCTAGTATGAGCCACTCACCACTTAATGACTACAGGATCTGATGGCATCATCCTGCTCCCACTTCCAACCCATTGCACACTGCGTCCATGTTTTCCAACTCTAGTTCAAAACAGCTGGTTTCCTGTGCTTCATTCTGTCCTAGCAAAAGGCTGACATTACCCCTCTTTCCCCTCCTTCCAATGGCTGGTTGCTGCCCTGTACTGGTATATTTTGATGGGTTGTCAAGTTGCTATTTTCTCCACATTTTTTAAAATAATGGTGCATTTCATTCAAAGGCCTGTTAAATCAATGAATTGTCTCAACCCTAGAAGCCCATGTTCCACTAAAATCTTATATATCCCAGTGGGCACCTTTTTGATTTCTGTCCAAGCTGAACGAAACATACTTCTCTTGCTTTCCCACTCCATGCAAAACTTCTGTTCCCTTCCCTTTGTTTTAAATATATATTTGTTCCTTTGTTGCATGAAGATGAACTATCAGTTCTTTCTTGTTAGCAAAGTTTCTGTGGAGTTAGAGAGAAATGTAAGAACTACAATCAGACTGGCTTTCATGTTCTTATTATACAGTAGTGTCAAAGCAACAATGTTACAGCATTACAACAATAAGGGGGAAAAGGAAAAAATAGGATCTGCTTTTGGGTCAAAGAAGATAGTGTGTGTGTGTGTGTTTGTGTGTAGGCATCCATGTGTGCAAATGGTACATTTCTCATCTATGCATTGTATAGCGATTAAGCAGGGAATTATCTCAATGTGCCTTCCTTCAATTTAGCATGAGATTAATTCCCCCTAATTTCTAGTAATATGGAATTGGAGGAATAAAGACCAGGAAGATATAAAGGGTGTTGCTATGAGTGTGATTTCTGTTCCTGTTAAAATGCTACTTGTCTCTATCTAGTCTAGTGATATTTTCTTTTGCTTTATCTTTATATCCAGCATGAATCCTGTCCTTTCCATCTCTCTGCCCCTAGTATTTGCCTTGACTTTGGGGCAAAGTCTGGCTCTTTGTATCCCTGTTGACTATGTCATCCATGTGGAGAAGAGAGAATGCGGCTACTGCTTAGCTATCAACACCACCATCTGTGAAGGATTCTGCATGACCTGGGTATGGTCTTGTAAGATATTTCTGAGTCTTTCCTTATAGTTCTTCTTGAGCATATATCTGAACATGGATATTTGGGTTTTTGGGCTGACTGGGGCCACAGTATATGAGGTGGTAACAGAAAATGAATGGGATTATGTTCTGCACTTTAGACATCTGGAACTGGTTCTTTCATATTCCATTTATTTAGGCTAGCACCAAAGTTTTTATGGATATCTGACTTGGAAATGGTGGGAAAGTGAAAAACAGCTGAGGGGAGGGGTGCTATAAGCTTCAAAAAAAAAGGGATACGGGCTGAAGTTGCTTATCTTTCTTTAAAGCAAATGTGCAAAAAGTGTGTACAGTGGCTGTATGTGACCTGCTGGCATGCTTTTTATGCCTCCCCCCATTAATGACATTGCACCCCAAATTTGATTTCTTTCTGCATTTTTTTTTAAATTTGGGGGAAAGGTGACATACTAAACTGGGTTTCTTAAGATGTAGAATGGAGTTCTAAACATGTCATACAAAGCCTGGTGCTCTCCCACAACTGATAGTTTTTCACTGCTGCTTTAAGAGAATAAACCTACAAGAAATTTACAAGAATAATTTGTAATAAGTTATCTTCTATAATAAAAGAACATAACTTGAAATTTCTTTTAATATGACATCCCCCTTCATGCATGGTTGTTTATTATTTTCTCAAGTTGGGTCTAAAAACGTAGGTAGTTAATATGCAGAATACACCAGGATTTCAATTTTCCAGATGTTTAAGCTACTATTAGAGAACTGTGCTTCTTTCAATATATTGTTGACCTTTTCCAACACTTCCAAAATTCCTCCCTTCCTTCCTCTGGGAGACAGATTACATCAAAAGCCATTCCTTCTAATCCTAATTAATTAAGACATTAGTTTGCAAATTGTAGAAAAACTAGAACAGATTCTTCCAATAAAAAAAATTAAAACATGTTTGAAGAACTGATTATCTCTGATACTTACTATCTGTCCAGTGAAGTCCAGTACAGTGAATGCACTACATGTCTGTTTGATAAAGTAATGAAATCTAGAAGCAAGCCTTAGCATTTGTTCTCTGAAACAGCATGCCCCTCCAGAGGTCTGTATGGTTCCGTTTGATGTTCAGAAAGTCACTGAAAATGTAATTTTTCTCCCAGACCATGCTTTAGAGTGGTGATTGAGCCTCATATATTTTACTGTTTATAGAGCTTGTCTTCTGGACCCTTATGATCTGCTTCATTTTTAAATTATTATTTTTTTTAAATAGTAAGCCACAACAAGTAATTAAATAACAACGACTAAATATCTTAATTGATGGTTCTATAGTAGAATCCCTTGAAATTTAGATTGGGATAAGTCTAATTAAAAAACTTGACTTTTCCTTTTACAGCCCATTTGTGCTCAAAGTCACATTGGTCTGACAGTCAGTTCTCCAGAGTTTCTGCAGTGGATCTTCCTAAGTCTTCTCCAAAGATGAACTTGGACTTTCTGCATGCACAGTAGGTGCTATCTATGAGCAATTGCCCTTCCAAAGTGCCCATTCTAAGCACATTCTTTTCTAATAGCTCAAACAGTTCATAATCTTTTTATACAGGATCAGTTTTAACTGTTTTCTCATTTCAGCAAGATTGCTGTTGCTTGACTTTTAGTTTGAAAAGCTCCTATAATGATGAAAGGATCCTTCTAATTTCAGTTGCATAGTGATTAGAAGCACAGTGAAGAGCAGAACCCAACTTTTATCAGGATAATTTTAAACAAAGTCTATTAGGAAGACAGAATAACTGTTGGCATTTTGTTACAGGACAGTAATGTTAAGAAGCTACTGCCCCGGAGATCGAGTGCCCTATCCCAGGATGTGTGTACATACAAGGACCTGGTGTACAGGACCGTGATGATACCTGGCTGTCAATACCATGCTGTCTCTTACTATTCCTATCCTGTGGCAGTGAGTTGCAAATGTGGGAAATGCAACACTGATTACAGTGACTGTGTGCAGGAGGCAAGTGGAGCTGGTTATTGTGCAATGTTCTAGAACGGGTGTCAAACTGGGCTGGATGTGTCACGCGCAGGCCATGCCCACCCCAGCTCCACAATGGCAAAAAACATCGCGATACATCATAATATGTCACGTGATGCGATCGAGTTTGACACCCTTGTTTTAGAAGCTACATAACCCTTGAGGTCTTGGTTCTCTGTATCTTTCATGCACAGCAACAGCTAAAGAGCAGCAACAGCAAAAATAAATAAGTTGGCTAGCATATCCATGAATTTGATCTGTCCAATTATTCAATGACAGAACAGTAAAATATAATAGGCTGCTCGTTTTTGTGACTTTCTTTTTTCTTAGGTTTCACAGGCAAAAAAGAGTCAAGAATAAAAACAACCGCTTTTTCTTTACTACAGGTCAGAGCAAAGACTCCATGGAATGAAGTCTTAAGTTCTGCTTTCTGACCGGAAAAATTAGAGTTAACCTTTTCCTACTATCTCTATTTTCAATGACCAAGAACTTAACATTTAAATAAAATTTTAAAATAACGTATACTAAAATCCTTAAAGAAAAAAAGTCCTGTCCATTTGAAATGTAATCCTTAGCATGCTGCAGAAAGCTCAGTGCAATCCTCAGAAGAACAAAATGCAAATACATAGATTGTTGTTGCACTGGTTTGAGCATTTTTATTGTAGTAGAGTAAGTGCAGGGACATAACACTGTTTGTATTGTCCTTGGTGCAATGTACACATAGTGTCCTGAAATCAACATATAGTTCTTTAGGAAGAATGACACCCCCACACTCTTGAGCTTTCTCAGACAAGCTCAGTGATAATGTACAAATATAATAATGATCTATAACAACTAGAATGTAAAGTTTGTTAAGAAAAAATGCTTAGTTTACTGTATAATCAACAATATAAATAGGCTTTAAATTTTCAGCTTCCAGTTAAGTTACACTTGATTCTTTTTATAGTAATTTTATTAAATATTATAATTAAAAATATAAACACTAATACAAACTAAAAAACAAAATGAATAGAAAAATAGAAAAGAAAAAATAAAGAAAAAGATAAAGAAATGAATTCCTCCTTCATCACAAATATAAACAAATTTTGTAACTTATTACCTTCTCTTGAAATGAAATAACTGATGCCTTCTTCCCATATCTTATCTCTTATTTATAAACAAATTCTTAAAACTTCATTTTTTTTGTCCTGATCAAGTCCTTTGATAACATATCTATTTTAAACTTGATAAAATAAATCAACTTTATATTCTTTCCTTTTACCTTAACAATCTTGCTCTTTAATACATTCAAATAGTATCTTAAAACTTGAGGTTTTTTTCTTACCCTTCTCACAAGTCTTCAAAACTGTTAGCAATCCTCATTTGTAAATCCAATATAGGAAAGTTATTGACATCATTATTTTGGTTTGTTATTTGTATATCCTCTTTAATTATAAAGACAACAGCTGGTTTCATTTGTATATCTAGGGTGGCATCTTTTTCCACATAATTCTTGTAGTCTGTCATTTTTAAATCCACTTTCAAATCAGGGTTAGTCTTTTCCAGTAAACCTTGTTCCTCTTACATCTTTTAAACAAGTCTATCTATAATACAAGCACCCCTACATCTAAGCTTCTGGGTACATTACTCACAAATATCCTTTAACATGACCAATGTAAAAGGATTTGGCTCCATTCTGTAATATTTAAATATTAATCTTTAATTGTAATCTTCAGTTCCTTCTGGTTCCCTCTAGAGTACAACCTTCAAAATCCTATAGTTTTTGTAAAAGAATTCAAACCAGCAGCATTTTCCCATGGGAAGGATTCTTATTTCAAACTTTTATTTCAAATCCATCCCGACCTTTAATATGTTTGTAACTTTCAAAAAACAATGTTTTAATCACCTTTTCGCTGATTACTAAAAAAAAAAGATTTTTTTAAAAAGTCCTTAAACTTGTATTTAAAAATTCTTTCACTAAGGATTGAAGGAAATTCACCTGGTGTTATAAAACTTATTGTTTCAAAGGTTCCTAATAGTTGAAAAGCAGATAACAAGCAATTTCCAAAAATGATTAGAAAACAAATTATGCAAATCCTGTGTTCATAAAAGAGTCTACTGCGGTTTGGGCTAAGATAGTGTTCCCTTGTCTCCGAGCTCAAAACTCTCAAGATAATGCTCTTGCTATCTCCTCACAAGGAACAACTGTCTGGAGCACTTGTGGATGATCCCAAGTCCTCCTTGTCCAAAAAGGAATTGCAAAGAGCTGGTCCGCTCACTGGCCCTTCATTCTTCAGCAGTCATTAGCTCTGCTCTCGGCGGAGCTGCCTTTGGTTCACCATTTCTTCCCTGAAGTCTTAAATTATACTTGATTTTAAATGGCACATCTTCCATTTTTTATTAATGGCTTATAACTTTATAAATAATAAATTTAAGGAACTAATTTACTTTGTAATATTTGGATTGCTTAAGTTATTTTGAATTAAGTTACCACAGGAACCAGATTCTTTACTGTAGGTAAAGTTAAAAACATAATCTATAAAAATTCATACATCTTTGTTCCCAATGAGTGAGTGAGACACTAGCAGATATACAGCAAGTGGGTTAAATTAGCAGCAAGTGGAAAGACAGCAAATGGGTTAAATTAGCAGCATCTATGGAACTCCAGGAAACTAAATGCCTAATTCATTTTTCAACAGTTCAGCAAAGATTTGGCCCCACAGATAGTTCTTTCTTTTCCTGTTCTACTCATATATACAAAACATTTTCCTAGATATTTCTTCAACTCTCCATTTATCCAAAGTACCGTATTTTTCTGTGTATAAAACACTATTTTTTTCCTGCAAACACCCTGTTCAAAAATCAAGTGCAGCGTCTTATACACGGAAAAATAATGGTAACCTCTGCAGCCCAGGACATGCCTGTGGGTTGCCATGCCGCCTGGTGCAGGTGTCAAGCCCCTCTGGGCTTGCCACTAACGGGAGGGGAGAGGGGGCAAGATCGTCAGCCGGCCGAACTTCCGGATTTGCCAGCTCAGCTGTTCGGCGCTCCGCTGAACAGCTGATTGGCACGGAGAAACACGCATGCCACAGCGTCTTATACAAGGGTGCGTCTTAATAGACGGAAAAATATGGTAGTTATTCTCATTCCACTCTTGGAATTCTTGTTTCCTAAACTCAGACATGCCGCTATCTTACACAGTGTTTTATGACTGGTATCTTTATAATGGCTTTGTCTTTTTCATGCTTAATAACAGAAAAAAACAATTGTCAATAGAGTGAGCGCTATTGTTTCTTGACTGGTGGTTTTTGTCCAGGAGGTTATTATTCCAGGAGGTTCTATGAATGAAAGTCTATGGGGATAATCTTCCATTCTGGCATAGATTCATAAGAAATTCTCCAAGCCCAATGAAATAAACCACTTGAGCTATACCAAAGAGAGGTGCAATGACAAGAGCTCTGCAACTAGCCCCCTTTAGAAAGGCTGAAGGACCTTCTTTTATCCAAATCTTCCTATAGAGACAAAAAAAGTAAACAAGACATAATTGGTTAAAACATTCTGCAGTGTATTACCTAAACATATTTCAGCACATGTTAAATATTTAGCAACAATTTCTCTATATACATTTATCAAGACTTTGCATATATGTAATTCATTGTACAAAATAAATCTTACAAAAAAGTGGTATCATACCAAGAAGTGGTATGATTCCATCTTTTTATAAGCCAATTCAAATGTTCATGCTTTTGTACAGAACTAATATGGAAAACTAGTTCGGAATTGTAATATTCCACATGAATAGGCTTTGTGGCACCACATGTAGCCTGGACTGAATCATATAAAAGTTGCTTTTACATGTTATAACTGTGCACTTGGGGCAACTGGTTACTCATTATTTTAACAAGATTTGTATCTACAGAGGTGTCAGGGTAAATTAAGGGCAACTGAATACGTGGAAGCCAATACACTGTCTTCAGAATTAAGAAGTGTGAACTGTTTTGTAAGCTTTACCTTGCACAATCTATAATTCCACTGTAATTCTCCTCATTTCTTCCTTTGCCCATTGATTGAAGACGAGTTTTTATTACTGAAAAAAATGTTTGAGAGATATGTTGGTCAATTAATCAATTGAGTAAATGATAGTTCAAAATGTGTCTATTCCACTGAACTATTATTGTATTATGAAAGCAATAACCTTCCCTATATAAGAAACTCTTAACAGATAAAAATATAAATTAGGTTTCATAGATCCATAGGAATAACCTTTTTTAACATGTCCCCATGACAAAGTAGCCCAGAGACAAACCTAGAGTCATTCTTACCATCACAGGGGTTCACAGATACAGCTGCCACTGAGCCAGCTATGCACCCAGCAAGAAAAGAGTGAAAGAAGCTTGTTCTCTGCCCCAAGGAATTTTGTCCTGCTCTATTCAAATGGGCAAACAGTGGGAAATAGATGACAGAGAATGGAACATCCCTGAAAGACAAAATGTATTCCTTTTTCAAGCAATGCAGAAAACTAATCTGAGAATGAAAAAAACTTAGGGAAACAAAATCATTACCTCAATAAAGTGGCTCCAAGACCCTTATAGAGCCCTTTGATGCCATGAGTTTGTAGAAGCTCAGTTGCTATTTGGGTGGCAGATATCTTCCTTGAGATAACCACAGGTCCTACATTGTATGCTCTAGTCAGGATAGGGTTGACTTTTACAAGATTGCATCCAGAGGTGGAACAAGAAACTCGGCTAACAATTTGCTGAGATGCTGAAATGAAAATAGAAAATACATAAGACTTGTTGTTTTGAAAAATCTCACTTGAACTTAAATCTGAGTATTAGACTCCTGAGAATCTATTAAACTACTTGTAATTAAATGAGTCTGAATGCTCAGATAAGACCTATGTTTTAGAATAATCCCTAATTTCCTTACAGCAGAGGCATTGATGAATATATTTAGATTCGCATATCACTGCAATATTATCCAAATTCCATGCTCCTTTTTTCCAATCTTCTCCCAATAGACATAAAGAAGAGAATATAGCTGGTGGGGTGGGACCAATGTATGCAACCATTTTTCCAATTATAGCAATTCTGTGGTTTTAGACTGCAATTAAACTTTGATTTAT